CCACCGTTGGTGCGATAGGTTTTCCCATTTTGACGGGCATTGCCGGCACGCTGTCTACATTTCAAGCCAAGTACAATAAAAGGAGTTAGCCATGTTAGCCTCTGAATGCGCGCCGCGCGACGTTGAAGGCCATGTTAGTACCACGGGCTTTTGCAGCCCCAGCAAAGCAAGGCAGCCTAAGCCTCGCGAAGTTATTCTGAACAGCGAGACGATTGGATCTGTGATCGTCGTCGAGTTTCGCGATGAAGTTTATGCCTCGATTGAGACACTGTTCCAGCAACATGGCTTGGTCATGGACCGGGCCGAGAGCGCGACGGAACTCGCGGACAAGCTAGTGCGCCATAAGGCGGAGCTAGTTCTAATCAATGGCACACAACCAGACGAAAGTGCTTGGCTCACGTCCGCCAAATTGAGAATCATTGACGCCTACCGATCGGTGTGGATCTACACGCCGAAAGGCCCTAGTGCGATCGACGAGTGGCTCAGTATGGCCGGTGCCGATGACATCATCGTTTACGGGGGCATACTTCACTCGCTGATTGACGCTTTGCAGCATCGCCTCGCGTCACGCGCGACAGGAAGCGGCCGCACCACAAGAAAAGTGGTAAGCCGAATCTCTGCTTAATACATTTCTTAAAACAAGACCTACTGTAACCTAATTGCTTTGCCCGTTGTGGGCGTTGCTATCAAGTTGACTTTCTCATGGAGGATGCCGAAGATGCCAAGTATAGGTATTTCAGCGTTGCTCGTTGCAGTCTTGCTTTGCATCACTGCGACGGGTTGTCAATCAACCAACAAGAACCATCGTCCCGGAGGAGGGTGCCCCAGTTGTGGACCTTAGAAGTTGGCGACTTACGCTTTGCTAGATAAGAGCGAATTGCCCGAAGTGGTTGGGCGGGGAGCTGCCCCGTCCGGCCACTCTGGTACTAACCCGACCCTTCGAACATATGGGTAAGGAATAGCAATATGAAAGATCAGCGTGTGAACGGTTTCGAGAGTGGCCTGCTACCGATGTGCGGGCCGTTGTTGCTAGCAGCTTGTTCAAGGGAAGTGTCGTCGTAAAATCCTGATCCAATTACTCGACATTACCGTAGGCGGAAGATGGCCACGCTCGATTTGCCCAATTTGATGACACCGTGGATAGCGATGATCAAGGCACCAAGAATGTGGATGTCTCCAGAGTCCAAGGCGTGCTTACGCGTCAGTATGAGGTCGTCCAAATCAGAAAGAGGGTTGCTTCGCTGCAATAGGAGGGACACAGCATGAGCGATGAACAAGCTAACCAGATTCGCAAAGGACGTCATCTGGAGACCGTCAGCCTGATCTACAACCTGCTGGAAGTCGGCGTTTCCTTGGCCGCTGGTTTTGCAACCGGCAGTTCGGCTCTGATTAGTTGGGGGATCGACAGCATTGTGGAGAGCAATTCAGCGGCTTTCATGATATGGCGGCTTCACGGTGAAGAGAAGGGCATCGGCCAACGCAATGTTCTGAAACGGAAGAAGATTGCGCTGAGCGTTCTGTCGGTTGCGTTCGCCATCGCTGTGCTGTTCATACTTTACGAATCAATCAGCAAGGTTGTCAGTGGTGAGACATCATCTATTTCTTGGTGGGGAATTGGAATTCTGATGGTGGCTTTGGTCGTTAATCCGATCCTGGCATGGGGAAAATACCGGTTCGGGATGGAGACAGATTCGCCGTCACTGAAGTACGACGCTATCGACACGATGATCTGTGAGTATCAAACGATCGTGGTGTTGCTAGGAATCGGACTAGTGCATTGGCAAGGGTGGTGGTGGGCCGACCCTGTTGCGGCCCTGCTGATAGTTCCCTACGTCGCCTGGGAAGCCTTTCATGCTGGGCGCGATGCCTGGAACGTACACCCGGAGGATGCGGCTGTAGGCAACGATGCTTCGGCTTGATTCCTCGTCAAAGAATGCGGTGCTGGAACTCAAGCCGAGAAGGCAGCCAAATCCCTGAGAAGTAAAGGCGACCTATGAACAAGACGAAGATTTCACTCAGCTTGCTCCTGCCCGGCGTGCCGGACGTCCGTGATGAGTGCGTCCGGCGAATCGCTGAACAACTCAAGATAAGAGGCGGTATCAGTGACGCGCATGGCATTGAGGCCGATGAGAGTCGAGCGGATCAGTTGTGCATCCATTTTGATCCATCTGTCATTTCGCTCTCCGATGTTCGTGAAGTGGCGCAGCGAGCGGGTGCGCGACTCGACGACTGCTATGGACACCTTGTCACGCGAATCGGATCGATGCATGCACGCAGAGCTTCTGCAATAGAAGCTAGGCTATCGCGTATCGATGGGGTCGTTGAAGCCGTCGTCTCGCCCGATGGCACGATGCGTGTGGAATTCGATCGCCAAATTACCAACGAGGAAAAGATAGATTCCACGCTTGGTGAGTGGTCAAAGAAGGCAGTGCGGAAGGACGAAGATCATGCCGGTCACCAGCATGACGATGAAGGCCACGAGGGTGCTCATGATAGTTCCGGGCATGACCACGCCCACGGTGGAATTTTTGGCCCTCGAAGCGAACTGATCTTTGCCGTCCTGTGTGGAGCCTTTTTGCTCGTTGGATGGCTGCTTGAGACATTTACGGAGATGTCAGGATGGGTTCCGCTGGCGTGCTTCATTGCGGCCTATTATTTCGGGGGCTACTACACCGTCACCGAAGCCGTCGAGAAGATTCGGGCAAGCAAGTTCGAGATCGACTTCTTGATGATCGTCGCCGCTGTCGGCGCGGCGGCTCTGGGGGCCTGGGCCGAGGGCGCGCTACTGCTGTTCTTGTTCAGCATTGGGCACGCCTTGGAAGGCTATGCGATGGGGCGCGCCAAGCGGGCCATCGAAGCCCTCTCAGAACTGGCGCCGCGAACGGCTCGCGTGCGCCGCGACGGCGCTGAAGCCGAAGTCGCTGTCGAACAACTGGTCGTCGGTGACGTTGTTATCGTAAAGCCGGACGAGCGGATACCGGCGGACGGCTTTGTGATCGAAGGAGAGTCGAGCGTCGACCAGGCGCCAATTACTGGCGAGAGCGTTCCTGTCGACAAGCAGCCCGTCACCGATCTCGAAGCGGCAGCGGCAGACCCGGAGTCGATTGCAGCGGAGAGTCGGGTATTTGCTGGCACGATCAACCAGGCCGGGGCTATCGAGATTCAGGTCACCAAGACGGCGGCAGAGAATACGCTTGCTCGCGTCGTCACTATGGTCAGCGAAGCGGAAACCCGCGTCTCGCCAACACAGCAGTTCACGAAGCGATTCGAACGGTACTTCGTGCCGTCCGTGATCGCGACGGTTGTGTTGCTGCTGTTCGCGCCGTTGGTGATTGACGAGACACTCTCCGAATCCTTCTACCGGGCCATGGCGGTTCTGGTTGCTGCGAGTCCTTGTGCTCTGGCGATCGCGACCCCCAGTGCGGTGCTCAGCGGAGTTGCTCGTGCGGCCCGCGGGGGCGTGCTCGTCAAAGGGGGTGGACCGCTAGAGCGTCTTGGCCAACTCGATGCTGTCGCGTTCGATAAGACGGGCACTCTGACTGAGGGCGAACCACGGGTTACCGACGTTCGTGCAGCAGAAGGTTTCGAGGAATCTGAGCTGCTTCGCATCGCGATTGCAGTTGAAGACCTCAGTAAGCATCCCCTGGCCAAAGCCGTGGTGCGTGACGGACGAGATAAACTGACTGAGGGAATGGAAGTACCCCAGGCAATGAACCTCAAAAGCATCACGGGCCGAGGTATCCAAGCCGAAGTGGAGGGTCAGTTGGCTCACATCGGCAAAGATGATCTGTTTGGCGAAGTCGAAGGCCCGCCGCTGCCGGACGCGATTCGCGAATTGGTCGAGTCACTAGAGCGTGAAGGTCGCACGACTATGATCGTTCGCCACGCCGACCGCTACCTTGGCGTCATAGGACTGATGGACACACCGCGTGAAGCGGCCAAGCGGACGATTGCCCGACTGAGAAAACTCGGCATCAAGCGGATGATCATGATTTCCGGTGACAATCAGCAAGTTGCGGATGCGGTGGCCAAAGCCGTCGGACTCGACGAAGCGCGTGGCGACCTGATGCCCGAAGATAAAGTAGCTGAAATCAAGAAGCTGAACAGTGAAGCTGGCGTAGCAATGGTAGGCGACGGCGTCAACGACGCCCCCGCGATGGCCTCGGCTTCAGTCGGCATCGCGATGGGGGCCGCCGGAAGCGACGTGGCTTTGGAAACCGCCGACGTGGCCTTGATGGCCGATAACCTCGACCACCTGCCACTGGCAATCGGGCTGAGCCGCGCGACACGCAGCATCATCCGCCAAAACCTCTGGATGAGT